GAGAGAGAGAGAGAGAGAGAGAGAGAGAGAGAGAGAGAGAGAGAGAGAGAGAGAGAGAGAGAGAGAGAGAGAGAGAGAGAGCAGACAGACTGGGGGTAAAGGGAGGAGGAGGGGGCAACATAGTCACTGTGGTGTAAGTATCATTGTTCAATGATTGTTGACGAGGGGCAGCACACTCTTGGATAGAGCGCATAGAGCTGGGTATTAGGTCAGGGGGTCGCTGTTATACCAGGCAGTTTAGAACTTCCACATAGCAATGATGTGTCTTGACTCTTGACTGAAGTTTTTTTCCCAGGCAACTCTCTCCCGACCTCGCCATCTTTCTTGCTCCTTCCAATCACCTCTCACCATCACCCTCAGTTTCTCTTCTTTGTTTGGTCTTTTTCTCTCCTCTTTTCTTTTTGATGTTACGTTATGCTAACGTTTGCAGGTGGGTTTCATGTTTGTTTGTTTTTTGTTGTTGTGACTGTGCTTCCTGGAAATTTGCATTTCACGCATTCAAGCTGCTCGCTTTGATCTTACGTACGGTGACTGGAGTGAGCACAGGGTAGGGCTGTTCTCCCCTCTTGTACTTTTGCGTAATCATCTTCAATCCAAAGTCCTACCGCCTTATCCCCACTCATTGACTTATCATGGTGCATGCAGAACATAACATTTTCAAACTCGTACAGTGTCGATCTGGTTATGGACACTGGTCCAAAAAGTGAACAACTCTTTGTAGACGGAAACACAGATCGTCGCTTCGAGAGAAGTTTTCTTTGCATCAGAGGCCACATGCGAAGAGTTTGGTGTATCGTCAGACTCACCTTTGTTTTGTCATCTCCTTCGTTCGAAAAAAAAAAATGGACCATTTCTCGATTTATGCGTGTCATCCTTTAGGGTGTAGCGAATCACGCAACTCGCCATCCTTGAAACTTACCTGCCCAGATCAAGTGAGGATCATAGCTCACAAACCTGGCCACCAAGTGTGGTATTGCTAGGTCCAGGTGCCATCCAGAGCCCTTTAGATGAAGTATTAAACCATCACTACCTCAGGTAGTATATACTACAGTCTTCCCCCGAATACAACGCACGGTCATTATAGCTGAATTTAGACTAAAAGATACACCAAATTCAGCTATAATGACCATACGTTGTATTCGGGGGAAGACTGTAGTACTATACACAGCCCAGGCGTGACTTTTTGGGTGTCCAGGTCACTCACTCCCCAGGCCGTTGATAAAATTTATCAACGGCAGCACCGAACGCCGAGGTCGCAGTGCGTTAACAGCCCAGGGCCAGCTTTAAAAAAATAGCTGGGCGAGGTATGGGTGGTTCTAATTAGACGGAAGTCAGATTGTGGTACCCCTCACCTTCCCTTCACTATCCCACCCTCCACCTCTACCTTCACCCGTCCTCCGAAAATGTGCTCAGAAATTACGAGGACTGATCCAACAAGAGTGGAGCTATCTTTGACTGTGAAGAACTACAGTAGTCGTCGCATTACTACAGTAGTCGTCGCATTATATCATTGATTGACAATTTGACACTCAACTCCCACTGTCTTCCCAGTCATTCTCCTAAACACACAACTCCTGCCCTAAGGATTACTCCGTTCGAGAAGGAACTCTTTGAGATGCTGAGCAGATGAAACGCTATGGCACAACAAGTAACAAGTGAAAAATGATCGCGAATTTTTTTGGTCTCTATAGGAAAGAATCTTGTGGAGATGGAAATCAGGCACAGAATCAGTGACAGGGAAGTTAGAGGAGGCTGTAGTAAGAGACGAATTCCAGGAAAAAAAAAAAGAAAAAAAAAAAAAAA